ATAGATAGATAGATAGATAGATAGATAGATAGATAGATAGATGATAGTTGATCTGAAGCCCAGAAAGGGAAGTCCAGAGCACAGCCTGCTGTATTTTAGGGGAAATGTTTGGCTGTGGTGTCTCTAATCACAGATCTGTGTTTTGCTGGTGTGTGGTACCCGTCCCGGCTTTCAGGTTGGATTGGTACCAGCTCGTGTCTTTTTGCAGACTAAGGGACAGTCGTGGCTCCATATGGTGACAAACAACTACTTCCCCATCCTGGAGGGTGTTGCAGAACAGAACTGTGTGGTACCTAACGTTTGAATGATGCTAAGTATAGCTGCTCCCAACTTTTTCTAACTGGTTGATGAAAGTGCAGATATCTAACTGATGGTTCCAAACGTTTATTAAAGGATTTTCCGTCATGCAAACGCCCGAGACCACCGTGAACACTGCAAAATACGCGGTGGAAAATATTCATCAATAAAACCGTCATGTTACCTTACATGAATTATCAAATGAAACTTATTCACAAAATATACATTCTCTAAATTGTCCATACCGTATGCCCCTCCAACCAGAAGGTTAGGAGTTGCTAGAAGTCCATTTCTTCCATTTTTTAGTCCTTTGCCTTTTCTCTTGGTAACCTCCTATTCCCTAATGGGGTCGGAAAGGGGCTGGAGCAGTTTGAAGTGTCCAACAACCTAACATGCAGGTTTTTGGACGGTTGGAGGAAGCCGGAGAACCCGGAGAGAACCCACAGACACAGGAGAACATGCAGAACCACCCAGAAAGGTCCTGGTTCCCCCGGGACTCCAACCCAGAACCCTCTGGTCCTGGTTCCCCCGGGACTCTAACCCAGAACCCTCTGGTCCTGGTTCCCCCGGGGACTCCAACCCAGAACCCTCTGGTCCTGGTTCCCCCGGGACTCCAACCCATAACCCTCTGGCTACAGAAAGGTCCTGGTTTCTGCAAATTGCCTCCAGGTTTCAGAAGCATGCGTGTTCTGAGTGTCCCCTCAGTCCGCCACATTACCAAACCCTGTACAGAGGGCTAAACAGACACCAAGAGAAGACTGCTTTGATTTATGACACTGTTTTCTGGTCATGTGACCCACATAGTCAGGGCCCTGCTCCATCCCAGAGCTGCTCAGCAATGCAGCTGAGCCAGAAAGACAGAAAAATGTCTACCTGCTTTATAAAAGCACCTAGGGTTGTCAAAAGTATCGATACTTAAAAAAGTATAGATACTAAAATGTTGTATCCGGATACGATACTCATTTTAAAAAGTATCGAAACCACCGCCCTTCTGTCTGATTTATTTATGTATTTATTTACGTTGTTTATGATCATTAACAAGACGTTAGCCTTGAACTGCTAGCTGCGGCCAATAGCTATTAATAACATGCTAAAATTAATCAAGTACATATCCAAGTCCGCCCACATGAAGTCGGCCATTTTCATTACGTCACCAATAGGAAGATCCCAGGCAAGAAAATCCTAATGGCTTCATGGCAATATAGACATTGATTTAAAAAGTGAAATTAATCTTTCAAACACTGAATTAAACTCTATCCATAATATGATGTTAAAATAGTGGATGTTAAATAAGTTTGTACAATAAGTCCAAACAAGTTTAACCAAACAATATTTATTTCTCACAATTATGAAGGGTGGAGGGTCAGGGTTAGGGTTAGGGTTAGGGTCAGGGTCAGGTTTAGGGTTAGGGTTAGGGTTAGGGTTATTAATGTGGGTCACGATAACATCAGTAACAGGTCAGTTTGAAATGAAAGACACTAACCTGTCAAAATTCAGTTTAATTTTGGGGTCTTTGTTTTTATCCTTGTGGTATCCAAAATGGTATCGAGTATTTTCCTGAGTATCGGTATCCAGTTGAACATTTTAGTATCGTGACAACCCTAAAAGCACCACTGGTGGGAGGTTTGTGGACAGACCAGGCTCCGTGCTCAGTGTGGCTTCTTTTCCATCACATCACCAGGTCCTGAACCAAATCCTGATCAAGAGTAAAAATATGGGTGTGAAAGAGACAGTCAACAGATGGCATGTCATCATCCAGGCTCTCCCTCTCAGAGACTGACCTTTTGGAATATCTTGATAGCGGACTATGAAAGGCGAGCTGCCTGAAATGTGAATCTTCTGCTTTTCTGACAGGGTGCTAGCCTTACGCTGCTAAATCTGTGACACAAGGCCAGGGCTCATTCACCCTTTCCTCACCCTGCCTGTGGAGCCAGTGTGAGGAGAGCTAATCTTATCTGGAGCATCACTTACTTGGTGAGCAGCTCACGGAGGGTAGCAGGAGGGGAATACAGCCAAGCTGGAGCAGGCCTGCCCCCACATGTTTATGTTTCTGTTTGTGCATTTGTCAGACGCTTTTCTCCAAAGCGACTTACAGAGTAGACCCAATATTCCATTTCTCATCACTATGACAATAAGCTATCCAGAGGAGAAACCCTGATCAGAGTCAGTGGTGAGATAGAGATAGAGGTAGAGGGACTACAGAAGGAGCTGTGGGGGGTAGAGGTACGAGTTTTCCTCACCTGCGTGTGTTTCTGGGTGATGTCCTTCAGCTCGGCCTCC